TTGGTGAGGCTCTGGGGAAACAGACACTCTCATACCTGCCTAATGGGAATGCAAAATGGTTAAACTTCATGAAGGAAAAATGTTTAATGTCTAACGAAACTACATATGTGCTTACTTTTTTTTTTTTTTTGAGATGGAGTCTTGCTCTGTTGCCCAGGCTGGAGTGCAGTGGCTCTATCTTGGCTCACTGCAACCTCCGCCTTCCGGGTTCAGGGGATTCTCCTGCCTCTGCTTCCCAAGTAGGTGGGATTCCAGGCACATGCCACCACACCCGGCTAATTCTGTACTTTTATTTTTTATTTGTTTATTATTTTTTATTATTATTATTATTTTTAAAGATGAGATTTCACCATGTTGATCAGGCTGGTCTTGAACTCCCAACCTCAGGTGATCCGCCTGCCTTGGCCTCCAAAGTGTTTGGATTACAGGCGTGAGCCACCACGCCCGGCAATTCTGTACTTTTAGTAGAGATGGGATTTCACCAAGTTGACCAGGCCAGTCTTGAACTTCTGACCACAAGTGATCCACCCACCTTGGTCTCCCAACGTGCTGGGATTATAGGCGTGAGACACCACACCCAGCCTTGTGCTTTTTGACTCACGAATTCCACTTCTAGGAGCTTACCCAGAAGATACACAACACAAAATACTTAGGCACAAGATTATTAACTGAGTATCATCTGTAATTGCAAAATACCGGAAACATACTAAATCTCTATACGTAGGCTATTTTTGAATAAACTACAGAATATCCACAGTATTGGATGAGGGAAGTGAGTAGGGTCTCTATAAACTGATATGAAATGATTTCCAGGAAATATTATTTCGTTAAAAAAAAGGCAAAGCAAGCCAGGCACAGTGGCTCACGCCTGTAATCCTAGCACTTTGGGAGGCCGAGGTGGGTGGATCACCTGAGGTCAGGAGTTCGAGGCCAGCCTGGCCATCATGGTGAAACCCCATCTTTAAAAAAAAAAGGCAAAGCAGTCCGGGCACGGTGGCTCACGCCTGTAATCCCATGTAATCCCAGCACTTTCGGAGGCTGAGGTGGGTGGATCATGAGGTCAAGAGATCAGGACCATCCTGGCCAACATAGCAAAACCCCATCTCTACTAAAAATACAAAAATTAGCTGGGTGTGGCAGTGTGTGTCTGTAGTCTCCGCTACTCAGAAGGCTGAGGCAGGAGAATTGCTTGAACACAGGAGGCAGAGGTTGCAGCGAGCTGCAATCGTGCCACTGCACTCCAGCCTGGCACCTGGTGACGGAACAAGACTTCTGTCTCAAAGAAAAAAAAAAAACAAACGCAAAGCAGAAAAGAATATATGTAGCTTCTTTTGTTTAAGAAAGGAATAAGAAAAAAAATGAATCTGTTTAATTTTGCAGAAAGAAACATAGGAAGAATAAGTCAGAAACGAAATAGATTAGTTTCCTACAGGGCATAGATAGATGGGAATGAAATGGAAGGGATGAAAAAGTAAAATAACACTTTTTAAAATATCAATGTTTTGACTCTACCTACAGAACCATTTAATGATGAGTATGTTCAAGAAATAATACATTAACCAGGCACAGTGGCTCACGCCTGTCATCCTAGCCCTCTGGGAGACCAAGGCAGGCAGATTACTTGAGGCCAGGAGTTCAAGACCAGCCTGGTCAACATGGTAAAAACCCGTCTCTAGAAAAAATACAAAAATTAGCCAGGCATGGTGGTGCAGCCTACCTGGGAGGCTGAAGAATGAGAACTGCTTGTGCCCGGGAGGCAGAGGTTGTAGTGAGATGAGATCACGTCACTGCACTCCAGCCTGGGCAACAGAGCAAGACTCTGTCATAAATAAATAATTAAATAAATAAATAAAATAAAATCAACAAAGACTGGGAAGAATCCTCATATACAAACAAAAACAATGAACCTAAATGTATTTCAAATGAACAATTCTGAAACTTTCTGTGTGCTGGACTGAGCAAAGGAGTAAATGTATTAAAGATGTTAGGAGGCCGGGCGCGGTGGCTCACGCCACAGCATGCCCAGCACTTTGAGGGCCGAGGCGGGTGGATCACGAGGTCAAGAGATCAAGACGATCCTGGTCAACATGGTGAAACTCCGTCTCTACTAAAAATACAATAATTAGCTGGGCATGGTGGCGCATGTCTGTAGTCCCAGCTACTCGGGAGGCTGAGGCAGGAAAATTGCTTGAACGCAGGAGGCGGAGGTTGCAGTGAGCCGAGATCATGCCATTGCACTCCAGCCTGGGTGACAAAAAGGAAGAAACCCCTCAAAAAAAAAAAAAAAAAAGATGTTAGGAGCCAGATTTCCCCCATTGGAGAAGAGAGTTACAATATGGAACTGCAAGTTTGGCAACCACTAGAATAGGACAGCAGCATGAAAGATTCTTCCTCAGGGCTTCCAGAAGGAATCAACTCTCCCAATGTCTTGATCTTGGGTTTCTGGCCTCTAGAACTGTGAGAGAATACATTTCTGTTGTTTAAAATAGAAAGAGAGAGCTGGGGAGGAAGAAAGGAAGGCAAGCAAGCCAGCTAGGGAGAATCCTTTGGTGTTGGAATAGAATTGAAAATGTGAAGTTGTTCTCTTAAATATATATATACACAAAAGAGAAAACTAAATAGATTGATTTTAAAACATATATTTATATACAGAAATAGATGCATGTGTTTGTGTATATGTGCCTGTGTGTATGGTGTGTATGTGTGTTTCTAGCTGTACACATGGGAAGAGCCTAGAAGCAATGCCATCTCAGTGGGAATGATCACACCTGTGTCTCATGGAAAAGAACCTTGCTCCTTGGAGAAGAGCCTAGGGCTGGGGTGGAGAAAGTGCAATGAAACCCGGAACATCTTGATGTGCCAGGAAATAAGAAAGTGCTCACAGGCTGGGCGGGGTGGCTCACGCCTGTAATCCCAGCACTTTGGGAAGCAGAGGAGGGCGGGTCATTTGAGGTCAAGATTTTGAGACCAGCCTGACGAACATGGTGAAACCCTCTCTCTACTAAAAATACCATTAAAAAAAAAAAAAAATAGCTGGTCATGGTGGCATGTGCCTGTAGTCCCAGCTACTTGAGAGACTGAGGCAGGAGAATTGGTTGAACTGGGAGGCGGAAGTTGCAGTGAGCTGAGATCGCACCACTGCACTCCAGCCTGGGCGACAGAGACTCTGTCTAAAAAATAAAATAAATAAAGTGCTAAAAAAATAATGGGGATATGTAAGGATATGGGAAACAGTTATTAGGATAAAATGCTGGGCAAAGTTGGGATGATTTAAGCATCAAAATAGATCATGGTAGTGATGGACCCACTGAATAAAATAAGAATCCTCGAGTTCACAATGGTAATAAATAAATGAATGGATAACAAGAAAAGCTCTTTCATTTTTTATTCTTTGTAGAGATGGGGTTTCACCATGTTGGCCAGGCTGGTCTCAAACTCCTGGGCTCCAGTAACCCTCCTAATAGCATGAGCCACTATTCCTGGCACAACTGTCTGTAAGTTTGAAACTATACCAGAATTAAAAGCTACCTCTCACAGGCTCACACACAGGCAAAACTAATACAAGATAAAAGGTCCCACTAAGTGCCCAGCATAAGGAGTGGAACAAGTCGCATGCCTGTGTGGCAGGTGACTTCCCCCAACACACTTAGCCTTCTTCCTTGCTAAGTGGCCCTGAATTTTAGTACCAGTAGATTTTTTAAAAATAGAACATGTAATACTTTAATTTTAAACATTAAAATTAAATAAAAGGCTGGGCATGTTGGCTCACGCCTGTAATCCTAACACTTTGGGAGGCCAAGGCAACTGGATCATCTTAGGTCAGAGTTCAAGACCAGCCTGGCCAACATAGCGAAACCCTATCTTTAAAAAAAAAAAAAATTAGCTGGGTGTGGTGGCGCACACCTATAATCCCAGCTACTCAGGAGGCCGAGGCAGGAGAATCACTTGAAATTGGGAGGCAGATGTTGCAGTGAGCTGAGATCCCCCCATTGCACTCCAGCCTGGGCAATAAGAGCAAAACTACTTCTCAAAAAATAAAATAAAATAAGAAAGTGTGTTCCGCTAAATAAGAAAAAAGTGAGTGTTGTTGAGTGAATCAGTGAATGGGGAGTGAATGAATAGACCGAACAGGTGAGTAAAATGAGAATGAACTGAGGCTTCCCCTCAGGTGCCAAGCCTTTTCATCTACAGTTCCCCTGCACCTGTAGCCATGCCCACTCAAGGGCGGGGGCTCAAGATGCCTTTTTTATGGCTGACCACACCTTGGCAGCCGGGCTGGCCAAAGTGCATTTTCTCAGGAGTCCAGGCCAGGGGATTCCTGCTACTTCCGCATTTCCATTGCCCCCACCTGCCCCGGTTCTTGAAGAAAGACACACCAGCATGCTGGGAAGGCAGTGTCAGCCTGGCAGCCAGGTGAGCCAGGTCCAGTGCCAGGCCTGTGCCTGGCTGGCCATGTGACTAGTGGTAAACATTTCACTTTTTAAGGCCTCAGTTTCCCTGTTTGCTCCTTTAAGCGGCTTGGCCAAATCCATGGTTCACAATCTTGGCTCACATTTAAATCAGGTGGGAACCTTTACAAAGTTCTGGGGCTCAGACTGCATCCAGACCAGCTAAGTCAGACTGTAGGGTGGGACCTGCGCATCCACAGTTTTTAGAGCTTTCCAGGCGACTTCAACGCATACCACGTTTGAGAGCCAGTGGGCTATGATCGCCATAGCTCCCTCCAGCATTTTTTTGGTTTTGTTTTGTTGTTGTTGTTTTGAGATGGAGTTTTGCTCTGCCGCCCAGTCTGGAGTGCAATGGCGCAATCTCGGCTCACTGTAACCTCCACCTCCCAGGTTCAAGCGATTCTCCTGTCTCAGCCTCCCGGGTAGCTGGGACAACAGATGCATGCCACCACACCTAGCTAATTTTTTGTATTTTAGTACAGACAGGGTTTCACCGAGTTGCCCAGGCTGGTCTCAAACTCCAGAGCTCAGCCAATCCACCTGCCTTGGCTTCCCAAAGTGCTAGGGTTATAGGTGTGAGCCACTGTGCCCGGCCAGATCTCTCCAGCTTTTTGATGCTGAGGCCTACCCTGATGCTCCGTCTGTTTGCCCCGTCTTTTGTCACTGGAGGGTTAAATGAAATGTGCGCGTCACCAGAACATCTGGGTTCCTATCCTTGCACCTCCTCCTGTCTTCAGCCTGCCTTTGAGGCAGTAGCCTCACCAGGACTTTGACCAGCCCCACCCATTCTTCACTGAACCTCTTGCTCCAGCTTCTGCCTCTTCCATTTTGATGTCTAGAATCAGGGGATCCAGGATCATCACCAAGGCCACCTTCCCAGGTATGGAGGGGTCTTCCTGCTTCTTTCTTGTCACGCACAGCTGCTGAGGAAGGGGCTGGGAGAAAAGAGCAAAATGGAGAGAAGGAAGAGTCCATTCAAACCGAGAAACAAAATGTTTGGTTTGTCTTATCTTTTTTTTTTTTTTTTTTTTTAGATGGGGTTTCACCATGTTGGTCAGGCTGGTCTTGAACTCCCGACCTCAGGTGATCTGCCCGCCTTGGCCTCCAAAGTGCTTGGATTACAGGCGTAAGCCACCGTGCCCGGCCATTTTTTTTTTTTTTTTTGTCTTACCCTTGATGTGGAAGCTAGCAACCTTTTCCAAGGAGAGCCTGGCCCCTTCTAGGGTCTGGCTGGGTTCCTGCTGCGCCTCTGAGGCCTCTCCTCCAAAGGGCACCGTTCCCTTGGGTGAGTACTACTGGCCTGCCTGAGAAGGGAGTATGGAGCCTTGAACTTCAGAACCTCCCTTCACTTGCAATTCATGTAACACACCGGAGCTTCCATTTCCCTATCTGTAAAATAAATGACCCTGCGCTGTCTCACCGGGCTGACAAGAACACACTGTTCTTGCATTGCAGACAGATGTGCTGAGGCTTTAGAAAGTGCTTTTTATTTGGCTGGGAGCTTGTGAATAAATGCGAGAGAGGCTGCACATCTGACAGACTATAGAGGCGACTCATGGCTGAACCGGAACAGGACATCGGGGAGAAGCCAGCAGGTGAGTCTGGGAGTCCTGTTCCCGACATGGTCCTCAAGGAACATGAGACAGTGGGCTGGGGAAGGCTGGAACAGGGGTGACGCTGTGGCCAGCAGTGCCCCATGGCCTCCCCTGCTCTGCCAGTGGGGTAGTGAAACCCAGCGCAACTAGATCACAGGTCCTTGCAGAAGGAAGCAAGTGTCCATAGCTACAGTAAATAATAATAGCAGCCAGCTATTACTGGTGCTCACCACTGCTGGGAAGTCGTACCTTCTGTGTACTTTCTCACTGACTTCTTACAGTCTTGTGAGGTAGGATTGTTAACCCCATTTTCCAGATCAGAGAGGTTATGTAACTTGCTTAAGGTGTCAAAGCTACTAAGTGGCAGAGGAATTCAGACCCAAATCTGCCTGAGTGCAAAGGGCATGCTTTCTGACCTCCATGAGACCCTGTCCATTCACAGAGCTGACACATTAATCACAGAATAAAATGCTTTCAGACGTAGTGGACTGGGCAGGGCAAGTTCTCAGGCTGTACTGGGTGAGTTAGCCAGGCAGGAAGGCCTCATTTCAGGCCAGGTACTGGTATCTGCATCAGGTATCGGCATCAGGTCAGGTATTGGCAGGTGGGCTGGGGCCAAACTCCCCAGGGGCTGCCTGAGAAGGGGCCACAGCCCTGAGCTGACTCCAGGGCCCGAAATTGAAAGGCAAAGAGAAGACTGCAGATCCCCATTCACTAGGGGAGGGGACATTATTGCTGTCCTGGGAGGGGGCTGAGTTGGGCAGGAGCATCTCCTCTCCTTAGAGGCATTTGGCAGGGTGGCACGAACAGGGCTGACTTCATGAGGCTGTGATCAGTGCCCTTGCCCAGGGCCCTGCATTCAGAAAGGCCCCGGGCTTGGGGTTCAATGTTCTGTGATTGTGGACTTGAAATGTGTCATAATTTTAGCCTTGAACTTGTTTTGTAAGTGGCGTCAGATGAGACAGTGAAGCATGCGCCGGGGTTAGGAGTTGGAGCCTCAGCTCATGCGTGTGGTCTCCACGCCCAGACCAGCCCCACCACTGCTGTCATCCTCTGCCAGAGTTCCTCATTCCACTGTCACCTTTGTCCCCCTCGGGAGCTCAGGCAAAACAAGGATCAGAAGTGGAGGCGTGGCAGGCAGCCCTGGACTCTCTCACCCACCCCCATCCAGGTAGTTGGTGCGTTCAAGTGGGGAGGTCACAATCCCTCGGGCGTCGCCCATTTGCCAGGGGTTGGAGCCGAGGCTTGCGAGAAGAGGAAACTGGATTCCTCTTCATTTTCCTTTTGCACTCGGCTCTGCAAATTATATAGTTGGCCCTGGTCACATTCATGTCCGTCCATTTACCAACCTGAGCAAGTTACTTCCCCTTTAAGCCTCAATTTTCCTGTCTGAAAAGGAAAGGAATAATGTCCATATCCCACAGGATTCTTATTCATTTATTTATTTATTTATTTATTTATTTGTTTATTTTTTTGAGACGGAGTTTCGCTCTTGTTACCCAGGCTGGAGTGCAATGGCGCGATCTCGGCTCACCGCAACCTCCGCCTCCTGGGTTCAGGCAATTCTCCTGCCTCAGCCTCCTGAGTAGCTGGGATTACAGGCACGCGCCACCATGCCCAGCTAATTTTTTGTAGTTTTAGTAGAGACGGGGCTTCACCATGTTGACCAGGATGGTCTCAATCTCTTGACCTCATGATCCACCCGCCTCGGCCTCCCAAAGTGCTGGGATTACAGGCTTGAGCCACCGCGCCCGGCCTCATTTATTTATTTTTTTGAGATGGAGTCTCACTTCTTTGCCCAGGTTGGAATGCAATGGCGTGATCTGGGGTCACTGCAACCTCCGCCTCGCGGATTCAAACAATTCTCCTGCCTCAGCCTCCCGGGTAGCTGGGATTACAGGCAGGCTCCACAACACCCAGCTGATTTTTGTATTTTTAGTAGAGACAGGGTTTCACCATATTGGTCAGACTGGTCTCGAAATCCTGACCTCATGATCCACCTGCCTCGGCCTCCCAAAGTGCTGGGATTACAGGCATGAGCCACCGAGCCTGGCCCCCCACACATTCTTTTGGGAACAGTGAAGATTTTCTTTTTTTCCAAAATACAAATCTGATTATGGCAGCTCTCTGCTAAAAACTAAAATGGCGGGCTGGGTGCGGTGGCTCACGCCTATAATCCAAGCACTTTGGAGGCCAAGGCGGGCGGATCACCTGAGGTCGGGAGTTCAAGACCAGCCTGACCAACATAGTGAAACCCCGTCTTACAAAAAAAAAATTAAAAAAAATAATTTTTTAAAAAGAAAAAAAAAACTAAAATAGCAAGCTTGGTGGTGTTTTAGGACAAAGACCACAAACTTTCCTCTAGACAAACACTGCCCAATAGAAATGTAATGCAAGCCCTACATGTAATTTAAAATTGCTAGTAGCCACATTTCAAAAAGTAAAATCAGGTAAAACTAATTTTAATAATATACTCTCCCCACTATATACAAATCATATCAACATATAAGTATGAACATTTTTTAATTGCCTCCAAAATCCAAGGTATATTTCACACTCATTGTGTATGTTACCTCATACAACCAGGAGCTACGTAATTGGACTAACCAGCCCCTGCCTAACACTCATTCCCTCCAGGCTCTCGGCCCTGCAGTCATGTTGAACTCTCTACAGGGCCCTACTGAAAGCTCTTCACCTCCTCTGCCCTCTGGATCTAGTTAAGCCTATTCATCCTTCACATGTCAGCTCAAATGTCAACCTTGACGGAGGCCTCCCGTGACCCCTAACATGGCTCAAATGTCAACCTTGACGGAGGTCTCCCGTGACCCCTAACGTGCTTTCAAAGAATTGTATATTTCACAGTCACCATGCCCCCCACAACTGTGATTTCCCATTTATTAACATCTGTCTCTTCTGCTGGCCTGCAAACTCCAGGGGGACAGAGACATCTTTGGGGTTTTTGATCATGAGTTCCCCAGGGCTTAGCCCAGTGCCTGGTGCACAGCAGGCTTTCAACATGTTCTGGGGATATTGTAAGAAAGAAAGAAGTACCCAAAAGGCCTGGCATATGCAAAGCACTCTAAATATTCACTCCTTTCCCTTCCCTCTGGGTGAGAACATTTCTCCTTATAAAGGCACCCTCCTAACTGTGTCTCTGCTAGAGAACTGAAGACATAAAGCACTCTGTGCCAAAAATATTTAAGTAAAAACTTGAGCTAAGCACAGAGATTATAAATATTTCTTCCCCAGATTACGCACCATTTAAAAATACTGCCTCAGCTCCTTTTCATGATTTGAGTGGTGATTAAAGAAAATTACTCTTCAAGACTGAAAGTAATTGCTGCCCTTTTCCTGACTTGCCTTTTCCCTTGAGAAGGGGAGGATAAGCTGGAGGGCAGGAAGTGGAAGTGGGGCACCTGTGTCCTTTGGCAGACAGCCAACTGGAGAGGTCCTGCTGCTTCTCAGTTCTCTCCTAATTCTTTCCCAGGTGAAGATAAACAAGAAGGCACAAATCCTCACTTGCCAATGGACCTGAGTGATAACAACAAACCCAGTGACACCTGTCTAGGTGAAGAGTCGGCCCCTATGTGACCATGTTGCAAGGCCAAACCGACCATCTGGTTTTTCTTTGGACTTTTAGTTCGTTCTGCATCTTCTCAGGACAGTTAAGTTGGAATACAGTGCCGCTGTCCTGAGATGGTAGAATTATCCTATTTCTGGAGGAGTGGGGGCGGTGGGGAGGAATCTCAAGAGCGATTTGCTCCTCTGCACAACAGCTTCTTTAAGGATACCAGGGCCCCTGGGCTACACATTTCCCTGAAGCTTTCCAGATAAGCAACAAAGTATGAGCCACTGCTATGTACTGCCTAAGGGTGCTGTGTTTAAATATCCATTGCATACTTTAAATCCTTGGCTGGCTTAAAGCGGCAAACTTTCTGTTTCAGTGGATAGAATGGGGGCATGTCTCCTAGAGCTTGCCCAGTGCTCCAAGAAAAGCAGCCTCAGCTAATGCAAAGTGTGTATGTGCCCATGAAAGCTCCATGTCTACTTAACAGTTTTTAGGATTATTTATGCTATCATAATATATATGAAAATCTCTAACGGGTATTTTGTTTCCTTTACAAACCGTATTTTGAATTTATGGGTGATTTAGAGCTGGTGCTTAAAGTCAGAATTCAGAGCCCCAAAGAAAATGACTTCATTGAAATTGAACTGAAGAGACAAGAACTGAGTTACCAAAACTTACTAAAAGTGAGTTGCTGTGAACTGGGGATTAATCCAGAGCAAGTGGAGAAGATCAGAAAGCTACCAAACACCCTGCTCAGAAAGGTGAGGTTTGTGAGTTTCTAAATGCAGAGCCACAGTGGGTGACATCATGTTTGCTGGAGCCAACCGTGTACCTTTTGCATTTCATGACACCAGAAATCCTGGCTACGGAATGGCCAAACATAGTAGGTAGGTCATAGATTTGCACACCTAATCCATAAACCTTTTAAAAACCTGTAAATGGGCCAGGTGTGTTGGCTCACGCCTGTAATCCCAACACTTTGGGAGGCTGAGGTGGGTAGATCACAAGGTCGAGAGATCGAGACCATCCTGGCCAGCATGGTGAAACCCTGTCTCTACCAAAAGTACAAAAATTAGCTCGGCATGGCAGCGCGTGCCTGTAATCCCAGCTACTCAGGAGGCTGAGGCAGGAGAATCGCTTGAACTTGGGGAGATGGGAGGCGGAGGTTGCAGTGTGCCAAGATGGCACCACTGCACTCCAGCCTGGTGACAGAGCTAGACTCCATCTCCCCCCTCCCCGCCCCAAAAAAAACTGAACGACAAGTGACTCCCCAATTTAGGACTCTAGTTCAGTACTTTTGGCTCCACCAATCTCTGCAAAACTGACTGGTTAATAAAAAATGGCGTGGTCCTCAGGAAAGAAAACACAAACCCACCCTTATTTGCTTAGCAAAGGATGGGTTTGCTAAGTACTTGAAATCTCAGGAAACAAAGATCGTTTTGCATTTTTATATATTTCCCAGATTCAAAATACAGGTATTTTTAATTTTGGAAAGGAAATCTTATTTGGAAAATTTTTTTTTTTTTTTTTGAGACGGAGTTTCGCTCTCGTTACCCAGGCTGGAGCGCAATGGCGCGATCTCGGCTCACCGCAGCCTCCGCCTCCTGGGTTCAGGCAATTCTCCTGCCTCAGCCTCCTGAGTAGCTGGGATTACAGGCACATGCCACCATGCCCAGCTGATTTTTTTTTTTTTTTTTTTTAGTAGAGACGGGGTTTCACCATGTTGTCCAGGATGGTCTCGATCTCTTGACCTTGTGATCCACCCGCCTCAGCCTCCCAAAGTGCTGGGATTACAGGCGTGAGCCACCGCGCCCGGCCTTGGAAAATATTTTTTAAGCTTTCAAAATTCTTTTGGCAACTTTTAATTTTTTTTGAGACAGGGTCTCACTGTCATCCACACTGGAATGTAATGGCATGATCACAGCCCACTGGAGCCTCGAAATCCTCAGCTCAAGCCACCCTCCCATCTTAGCCTCTAGAGTAGCTAGGACTACAGGTGCACACCATCACAGTCTGCTAATTTTTAAATTTTTTTAGAAATGGGTCTTGCTATATTGCCCAGGCTGTTGTTCTCAAGCCCCTGACCTCAGCTTCCTAAGTGCTGGGATAACAGGTGTGCCTTTGGCAATTTTTTTTTTTTTTTTTTTTTCAGTTTGCTCGGAGGGCAAAATCAATTCTTTGTTTTGGCTGATAGTGTATATTCTTTGTAAACTAACACGTCAAGGGATGATCCCACTTTCCAGATGCCTTAAAAACAAACACCTGCTGGGTGTGGTGTCTCATGCCTGTAATCCCAGCACTTTGGGAGGCCAAGGTGGGCAGATTACTTGAGCTCAAGAATTTGAGACCAGCCTGGGCACATGGTGACACCCTCTCTACAAAAAGATACAAAAATTAGCTGGGTGTGGTGGACTTGGGAGGCTGTGGTGGAAGTGGAAGGATTGCTTGAGCCCAGAAAGTTGAAGCTGCAGCGAGCTGTGATTGCATCACTGCATTCCAAGATGGGTGACGTAGCGAGAGCCTGTCTCCAAAATAAATAAATAAATAAATAACCGAAATATCTTATGGGGTCCAGACATAGTGGCTCATGCCTGTAATGCCAGCACTTTGGGAGGTCAAGGTGGGCAGATCACCTAAGGTCAGGAGTTCAAGACCAGCCTGACCAACATGGTGAAATCCCATTTCTACTAAAAATACAAAAATTAGCGAGGCATGATGGCAGGTGTCTGTAATCCCAGCTATTCGGGAGGCTGAGGCAGGAGAATCGCTTGAACCTGGGAGGTGGAGGTTGCAGTGAGCCGAGATCATGCCATTGCACTCCAGCCTCCTTGGTGACAGGACTAAGACCCTCTCTAAAAAAAAAAACAAAAACAAAAACTTAAGGGTTCAGAACCCAAAATGCTGAGCAATACTAAACCTTTTAAATACATTCATATGTATTAAGCATGATATAATTTCTTTTCCATATTAAGGACCAAGACATTCGAAGACTGCGGGACTTTCAAGAAGTAGAACTCATTTTAATGAAAAATGGAAGCTCTGAATTGACAGAGTATATACCATCTCTGACAGAAAGACCCTGCTACAATAGCAAAGCTGCAAAAATGACTTATTAAATAATCCCAGGAATGGCCGGTAATGGTGGCTCACACCTGTAATCCCAGCACTTTAGGAAGCCAAGGCAGGCGAAGCCCCTGGGGTCAAGAGTTCTAGACCAGCCTGGCTAACATAGTGAAACCCGTCTCTACTAAAAAAATAGAAATATTAACTGGGTTTGGTGGCACACACCTGTAGTCCCAGTTACTTGGGAAGCTGAGGCAGGGTAATCACTTGAACCCGGGAGGCGGTGGTTGCAGTGAGCTGAGATTGTGCCATTGCACTCCAGCCTGGGCAACAGAGAAAGACTCTGTCTCTTGAAATAAATAATCCCAGGAATAAAAAAAACCAAATTATTTTGTAAATAATGAAGTCTGGATGCATGTTAACAGTTTGGCTAACTTCATGTCTGAACTGTGAGAAATGTTTCCTCACTTCCAAACTCTCCGGGCTGAGAGAAGGTCGGTGTTTTGACAAACAGCTATAAAACAAAATTGCAAGGTACAATTTTGGTACCACGGACAGTTTATTTTGTCGAGTTGTGCCCTAATCCTGATGAGTATATGTGTCCCTTACGAGATTGTCAGGCCAGGTGTGGTGGTTCATGCCTGTAATCCCAGCACTTCAGGAGGCTGAGGCAGGAGAATCGCTTGAACCCAGGAGGCAGAGGTTGCAGTGAGCTGAGATCGTGCCACTGCACTCCAGCCTGGATGACAGAGCAAGACTCCGTCTCAGAGAAGGAAAAAAAAAAAAAAAAAAAACAAAAGCTGAGTGTCGTGGCTCATGCCTGTAATCCCAGTACTTTGAGAGGCTGACGCGGGTGGATCACGAGGTCAGTTCAAGACCATACTGGCCAACATGATGAAACCCCATCTCTATTAAAAATATAAAAATTAGCCAGGTGGAGAGAGCTGGAGCTGCACTTATTTTGTTCTTGGTGTAAAGCTATCAGTTACTCCATGGCACGTAGGAGCACTCAGGATGTGTTGGATGAACTCACAGCCAAGCCTTAGCTCATACTGAGGGGATCCAAGTCTCACCTGGCAGCATAGCTGAGAAGTAACAAGACTACTGTAAAATGACATAGGGTCTTAGTTACATGAATTCTATGAATTTGCAAGTGCAATTCAAATTTCACTTTCCTCTTTTTAAACAATAAACATTTTTGTTAACACTTCATGGTACCCCTACTAAGATCAGAACAAGGCCAAAGCAGCCACCTCTCTGAGGTGATAATCTAACTTGAGCCAAGGGAAGGAGTACAGCACGGTCCACCAACTTTCCTTCCCAGAATGGCATGAATCTGAGAAAAGCTTCTTTGGAAGCTGCTTAAATAGGAAGACAAAAGCATCGGCTCCCTGGCTGGCAGCCAAGTAAAAATTATGTTAAGATGAAAATATCACACAGAAAACATACATTTAGGTCTTGCTTTCTAGCTTTTTAAGAACTACAATTAAGACCTTAAATTTGAAGGCTGGGCACAGTGGCTCACTTTGGGAGGCCAAAGCATGCCCGATTATTTGAGTTCAGGAGTTCGAGACCAGCCTGGCCAACATGGTGAAACCCCATCTCTACTAAAAATACAAAAAAATGAGCCAGGTGTGGTAGCACACACCTGTTAATACCAGCTACTGGGAAGGCCGAGGCATGAGAATTGCTTGAACCCAGGAGGAGGAGATTGCAGTGAAGTGAGATCATGCCACTGCACTCCAGCCTGGGTGATAGTGACAGTGTCTCAAAAAACAAAAAAAAACTTAAATTGGGCCCTCAAGAAACAGCATCTTTAGATTTGACATTCATTGAAGGATTTTATGAAATATACTAATATAGTTTATATATCAATTAGTAACTACATACACGAAGACATTTTCCCATTATTTTTATTTAAGAAATATCGTACATACAAAAGCACATAAACATACAGCTTAAAAAAGAAAATGCCCACAGAGCTTCAGAAATAGCGCCTCACCAGTTCCTCTGAAGACCCCTCTCTGCCCTCGTCATCACCTCTCCCTTCATCAAAACAGCTATCATTTCCTTTTCTCATGTATTTTGACAGCCTGTTTTTGGACTTTCATCGAAATGGAACCACAGTGGATGTATTCTTCCATGACTTGCTTTTTCTGACCCCTTGATTGTTTAGTTTTGTCCATGTTCACATGCAGGGCTGCAGTCAGTTTCACTTCTGTGGAATTCCACTGTTGGAATATACCACAGTATTTATCCAACACACTGCTGGTGGACAGCTGGGGTCTTCCCAGGTTTTTTCTTCTTGTCTTCCTATGACACGCAATGCTATTGGGACATTCTTACATCCATCCCCTGGTACTCATGTATAAGAGTTTCTCTAGGGTATGCATCCGGGAGTAAATGGCTACGAGAGAGGTTATGGCACATGCACTTAGGCCAAACTGTTTCCCATTTCCCAAAGTTGTTGTTTCTAAACATTCTTAAATCTGTTCACAAATGATCTATCTGGAATGGCTGAGGGGAAGAAACAGATCAGCTATGAAACTCTTGAATTTTTAAAATAGTAAATTCAAAATTCTGATACAACAATGAAAAATACAATTTACTTCTCTGCTTTGGCTTACTTGAAATGTACTTTTAAAAACTACAGGTTCAACTGAAAAGTGCTGTCTCCTTTATCTCAAAATAAATGTTTTTAAATATTACCAGGTGAAAACAGTAAGACTCAGAACATATGGATATACCATCATATATTTTACAGGATCTATACATATATGTTTATATTTCCTCCCACCTTCCCACAAAAAAACAAAACAAACAAACAAAAAAACTTGAAAACTGGAAGAACTGTTAAACAGAAGTAGCTCCTGGAGATTAAGAGAGGGTAGGAGTAGGAGACATAGATCACTAAACACTTTTTAAAAAACCATATGCAACATTACAATTGTAATACAAAATTTCAGAAGTAGATCTGGGGTTCTTTCACAACTAAAAAAATCCCTCAAGAGATCAAACTTGAAAACCCACCCTGAAGTCCTATCACACAGAATCATATGCACAGTAACTCCAAGTGTTTTTTGTTTCATGCACATAACAGATGTTTAAGAACACATTCACATAGCCCATCCGCAATGCATTTTTAAAAACAGAATGGACGACGGCTCAGAGAATTTCCACCATAAAAATTTTCAGTTCTTACAACTCTGAAAACTTTAATCAGAAGGTGGCTGAGCTCAACCAATATGCGATCCAAGTGTTCCCAGACCTCAGAAATAACGTTGGTTATCCTCTGTGACGCTAACTATATTTAAGAAACCAGAGTACCTAAGGAGAGGGGATAAAAATAGCTGAGCAATATGACTAGGTTATTACCAGCTCAAGATCAAGAAAACAAGGACGGTTCATCCCAAATTGAAAAATGGACTGTTTGAAGGGGATGGAAAAAAAAAAAAAAAACGTTTCAACAAAAAGGGGCATGGTATATATACACACACACACACACACACACACACAATCTCTACATTCCAGAGGAGAGGCTGTCTTGAGCAGCAGACTGCTCCTGAGAGGCTCAATGGAAATTAAACTATTGGACCAGTGCTATGTAGTTTGATGGCTGACATAAGTATACCCAACTTGTTTCATAAACTGTTATTTAAGAAGTCTTTGTCTTTTAGAGATACATGCTGAATTATTTACAGATTAAATGGTATATCTGAGACTTACTCGAAAATAATAGAGGGCAGAGGATACAAATACAATCACTCATGAAGTAAGAGTGGCCATGGGTCTTGTTGGTGATGAATTAACAGAGGGTAATTATACTGCTCCACTTGTGTGTCTTTAAATTTCCAAAATAAAGTTGCTCTTTTTTTTTTTTAAAGACCAACTGATTACAGATTTCAAACTTACCAATCTGATTAATTAAAACTGGTTTGCTCCCCTTAAAGACTTTCCAAATAGAAAATATACACTCACCAACTAGTAACTTTTTGGTGTGCATGGCAGAAATGTTTATTTCTTCTAGTGAATTGGTTTCAATATTGTTGTATTCTTATGAGATGGTTGACAATAATCAGTTCCTCTTCATCCATATCAATTTTGGGTATAAAACTCAACTTCTAGGTCTCTCTTCATGACTAAAGACACGCCTTAGTCATGGATGCCCTGAGGAGGCGGGTCCTCCTTCCCCCGAAGTTACCCAAATCCCAGGTAACTTCAATAGTTATAATAGAGCTAAGTGTCCACAGAGGAAGCCTTTTCATATGAGCTCATTTACTGTACTTCATTTAAGTTAGATGCTGATTCTAGATGAGGCAGAGCAGAACAAATCTGTCATTTTAATAACTTCCTAAGTTTTTTTTAATACTTAAAAAATCTATTAACAGAGCATGGTTTAAAAACGATCACTCCTTTGCTGCTACAACCACAATCTTGTCAAACTATACAAAGCAGGGCCTGGGAGGTAGCTTTGTGTTTGTTAGATTTCATTTCCCATTTTATCTTAATCCTCATGTGAATCATCTCTTAAAAATTCTGAAAACCCACTCATCTATTGCTGCATCTCCAGCATCAGCTAGGGAGCTAGCAGGACTCTGTCTCCACAGCATTTTTCCACAGAGAGCCTCTAAAGTGGTGGCTTCATTATTTTTCAAAGTTTAGTGGAAGAGATCTTTGTAAATTCTTTTAATAATTCATTATGCCTTTTAGAATGAACACAGTGGCTTAACAGTTAGGCACTGGACTATGAGGCAGCGACCTAGCAACTCCATAAACACGAAGCCACAGGACCCTCCCTGGGTAAGCCATTTAACACACTCAGTTTCTTTACCTATAAACTGATAGCAGTAGAAAGTTATAAACCACAAGGAATTGCTATGATATATATATGTGTGTGTATATACACAGCTGGAGAGAATACTTTTATACAGTTGAAGAAGCTGCCTATAGACAGTGACATGCTGCCAGTTTTCCTACATGTAATACAAAAATAATCACTTGCTTGGGGTGGGGGGAACCCTTGTTATATATACTACACACCCTATACACAAGCACGTTTATAAACTGACAAGACCGGGCTAGAAGAAATCTTGATACAGGACTTAACAAAAACTAGCTCTTGAATGCTTTTCTACATCATTATTTCATAACTAGCTAGCT